ATGGAGTATTTTATTTGGTATTGCTAACCACTGAAGTTGTAAGGAAAGGGAAGTAGTTTTATAGTTTCTTCCTCCCACAGGTCATAATTTAGTTATGGACATCAGGATGTTTTTCTTGGCTTATCTCATTCATGTAGTTTTTCTTGCACATCTGTTACATAAATTACTAAACTATTTTCTTGAAAAGTTGCCAGTTTAAGTCACACTTAATGGTAATCAAAAGTTAGTACTTTTTGGAAAGCAGAATTAAATAACAGACCTTGAGGGATAGAAATCTCACTACTATCCTGGTTTCAAGTATTTTGTTGTTGTTTTGGATCAATTCCTGCATTTTTTGAAGCATTAAAATAATTACAGTCGTCCCTCAGTATCCACAGGGGATTGATTCCAGGACGCCCCCTGCAAATACCAAAATCCACAGATGCTCAAGTCCCTTATATAAAATGGCGTAGTATTTGCATGTAACCTATGCATATCCTCCCATATACTTTAAATTGTCTCTAGATTACTTAATGTTACCTAATGCCATATAAATGCTATGTAAATGGTTGTTTCATCACAATTGAAGACTTGCTCTGGAAAGTAGCCTTTCTCTTCTATGAGTTTCTTGAGCTCTTTCACGCTGATGCTGCCTGGGCATCAGCCTATGCTGATTCTCCTGTGATCTTGAAGTTCTTGAGGCTATATCACTTTACAGAGCTAACCAGCCATCGCTTACTAGCCTTAAACTCCTTCCTCTAGCTCTCAACCCCCTCACACTTAGCCTGTGGGAGATTGCTTTGACCATTTCATTGCTTTTAGGAGCCTTTTTTTTCCACAGAAACAAAGGGTGCACAACACAAGTAGCAAATGAACGGGACATGAGACAAACAAGGCTCAAACAACGAGTGCTGGAGAAAAACTGAGAATCTGTGAAATGGCGGGAGATGACAGCAGGGGATCCCTACACATCACTGCATTTGCGTGGATTCAGCATGGTGCTCAGCATGTGGCAAATTCAAGTTTTGCTTTTTGGAACTTTTTTTCTTTCAAATATTTTGTGTCCACGGAACTGCAGATACAGAGGGCTGACTATATGTGGTTTCTAGTGATTCCCAAGAGATGATGTTGGGCTGTAAACATTTAATAACTTTTTATATGAAATGAGATATTTTAATCCCTGTTTTCTATAAATATTTATCTTTTCAGTTATTAGTTTATGTATACATGTTAATCTAGTACCTTGTCATTTTGCCATTTGAAACTAAATTTGGAGCATTTACTTTAATGATTTATGTGATTTTTTTCTGGCCTTGAGTTCTATGTAAATCCTAAAATAAGGGTTTTCTCTGGTTTCCCTGGAAAAAAATTTGATGTTTTATTACTTCTGCTAATCATATTTTGGGACAACTTTATACTTAGATGACTGACAGCCTGTCAGTTGTTAGGAATCCCAGAAATTTTACATGTGAGTATGGCTTGTTTTGCTCCATCCAAACTGATATGAATAAACTCCGGAACTTTTCATGGAATATTAGGTAAACTTCTATAAGCAAGGGACCAGATATGTAAGCACACAATTTGAAATTTTGGGGATTTAGAGTGGTGGTTTATAAGCTTGAAATGTTTAGGTAGAAATTTTATTTGGAACAGTGATAATCTGCAGTAGGTATTTTCAGAGATTAGAAGAGGAAAGTGTGGTGTGAATCTGATGTTAGTTACAGTAAAAGTTCTCAGATTAAATTTTTTTTACTGTAGATTTGTTTGATTTTTCTACTCAAAAATTTAACTTTTTAAAACCAATCCAGAAGGTTTGTAATAGAGAATAATGTATAATTTTGTTACGATCCAAATTTGACTTGCTTGTACGGGGACAAGTCACTTAGGTTAACCGGTCACTGGCATCCACCTTGCAGCTGAGCTCTGTTCTCTAGCTCTGGGACTGTAACAACTTACTTCTTTGTGAAAAACAGCTCAAGGAAAGCCAACCTCCAGTGCTGGTAATGAGTGTGGCGGTGTCTAAGAAAATGATGATTCACAGACAGAAAATAGAAACTTTACATAAACAGGAACGCATCAGGTTTGGTGGTAGGTCAGATGGATCGCACAATCAAGTCTGTGAAATTGGTAAAAAAAATTTATGGAAAGTATTCCACCATGCAAAAATTTCTTACCTTAGAAATAAAACTTTGATGAAATCTAAGGTATTGGTTTAAACCTATCTTAACTGAAATCTACACAAGAGTCTTAAATTCTCCATCTATTCTGGGAGATTGTCAGGAGTCTGTATATTTTCAGTATCATAATTTAGAAGATAAGATAACACAAAGGTCTTCATCTAGTCTTTTAGGAATGCTAGGGATTTGAATTTGCTCTTACAGCTTTATTTTTTCCACCTCCAGTGTTCAGTGTTTCATTTTGGTCCCCTTCTTCCTCCCACCTCCCCCCCAAGAAAAAGCCCTGAAAAATACTTTATATATTACCAATTTTATAGAATTTCTCTTTCCACTCTGTAAATAGTAGAAATGCAATCTCAAAATCTGAGTTGGGATGATAGGAACATTGAATTCTATCAGTCAGCAATGTTCAGTAAGAGGAAAACATTAAGATCAATTAAAATTCTGTAGTTCAGTACTGAGAGTGGTAGATGAAGTATTACTGAAATTGAAGGCCAGCCTCAGAGTGAAACAAAGAATTTGGTAGTAGAATTGGAGTGAAGATAGTTTTTGGTTTAGGAAGGAGTACAGTCCTTAATTTTCTTATAACTTAAAAGAAAATTAGAATTGCAAAAGTAGTTACATTACGTAGAGGCTTTTTTCTATTGTCTTACATCATGTAAGGAGGAAGCAATTGGAAGTGGTATTTTTAAACATTAATACAATACTTTTTGTGGTTTTAATGTCAAGTAGGCTTCCTGAGTTTGAACTTAGGGGCAGTTTTTCTCTTGGTACCATAGTTTTTTAAAAAAAATTTTAGACACCCAGAATTATTCTAAAAGTAGAAACTTTTAGGGACTATGGGGCTCTTGTCCCACCCCCCACCCCCACCCCATAAAACCTGGCAGTAAGCTGCTCTTTTATTTATTTCATGTTAATTTTTTTGACTGAGATAGCTAAAGGATGAGGCATAATATATATGTACAAATTCTTGATGGTTATTTTAAAAAGCAGAAAGTTTCATGTTTTAGTATTTCACATTTTAATGTTCTCCCTTGAAAAGTAAAGAGGAAAACAGAAGGTGCATAATGCAGCATAGTTCTCTATGTAATAGTTGAAGTCATAAATAATATGCATATATACACCCACATGCATATACTATCATTGGATTAAAATAGGGTATACATTTTTTCAGTAACCAGGTTACTCTTTTCTGAAATCTCATAACTGCAGAAGAGTGGATAAGAGAGTCTCAGATTTTAGTTGTCTTTAATTCCAGTTTTTCCGTGTTCAAACTGGTATTTAGTTTTCCTCACTTTTAAGAATATGTGTGTAAGGGTATGGGGAGGACGAGTACACTGCCTTTCCCCCTTTCAGTTGCGTAGTTTGTATTTAATATTTACTAAAACCAAAGATAATGCAATTTCTATAACTGAGTTGTCTTTTTTTAACATTAATTCAGCATCTAGTTATTTTAGTAGCACAATTTGTGACGTTGCGTTTGATGTCATCTTATATGTTAACTGGTAGGTACTACTGGCTTTTTCGTTGTAGCCAGATGATATTACTTATAGTCTGATTTTAGGGCATCATAGAAGTTGGGCTTTGAAATTGGAAAACCTAACATACTTTAAACATCTGTTGCCACTTACTGGTTGTGTGATCTCTACTAAGGAGTGGCTATTACGGTATTTTCCTTCTCTCACTCTTTTTGTCTGTTTGTTTTTTAGAGGGTTCTGCTGGTGGCAGTGACAGCACTAGAGAGAAATTGTCCAGGATTAGAGTTATTATATTTGTTTCTTCTGTGCTGGTCAATATTGTTATACTTGTTTTCTTTTTACAGTATGGAGGGAGTACTGTAGTTTTATTCCTTGTATTAGCATTGTGGCTATTTTATAATCCAAAACCAAACCCATTGCCTTTGAGTCAATTCCGACTCATAGAGATAACTATATAATCAAATATGGTAATAGCACTTGCTCTAGCAGCGTTAACTCTTTCACTAAACTACACTATCACTTGTGTTAAGACATTTTCTCACTGCTTAGTGTTTCATTTTCAGATCAAGAAATTTTTTTTTTGATAGATGGTAAATAATTCAGCCAAGTAGACTAATCAGTTTTTCCACCTCCCCATATCAAGCCTGTAGAGCCTCAGATTTTCTCATAACAATGAAAGTTATGTATTTTTTTAATTTGGGAGTGCTAGACTTTTTGATTGTGGACTGTAAATTTAATATTTCACAGGACTGTAATAAGAAACTTGGTTTTAAAATACGTTCAGCTTGCAAATAAGGGTAATGTGGTAAAGGCCATCCCTTGATGAAAAAAGAATATCGCATGGTCCGTTATTATCAAGCTTTTAGAGCAAGTATTTTTTAAAACTATTTCCATAATGTTTTGGCTGGAAACATAAAGAACAAATTTTGCTGACTTAAAGTGACTTATTACCTGAGGAAACTTTCTTCTTGAGTGTTTAATGTATGGGTGTTTTATGGTTTAAATTTTTTTTTTTTTTTTAAAAGACTGAGCATAATAGTTTTTACCTTCATTATAAAAATACCTACAGAAATCTTTGTGGCATTGAGGACAAGCAGTGACTTTTAAGTATAGGTTTTGATGTTAGGAATCATTCTCCCTAATACCGTTTTTTAAAAATAATGTTAATTCCAATATTAATAGTTAAAATGTCCGCTGTGGTGTTACACACGTAACAATTGATGTACATATTTGTGTGTTTGGTCCCTGTGTGGTGCAAATGGTTAAAGTGCTGGACTGCCAACGGAGAGAAAGGTTGGCAATTCAAACCTACCCAGATGGACCTCAGAAGTAAGGCCTGGCAATTTGCTTCCAAAAGGTCACAGCCTTGAAAACCTTGTGGAGCAGTTCTACTGTGCACATATGGGGTCGCCATGAGTTGGAATCAACTCAGGAACAACTAACAACAGTACACACATAGATAGACACACACACACACATATATTTTTAGTTTGCTGTACTTACTATTAGCCTGATAAAACAAGACACTGGAAATACAAATGATACTTACGTGATCTACTGTGATGTTTATTTGCCTATAAATCGTTAAAATGTAGCTAATGATGACATAGTACCTCATTTATATTTTTAATGGCATTTAATGTTTTTCTCTTGGTTTCAATGTAATGTTCATGACAAAATTGGAAAATACAGAAAAGTTTAAAGAAGAAATACCATTATTTAAAACCATTACTTTAAATCTTTACTTTGTCTCTTGCTGCCTCTGACTGTTTCTGAGTGTATGTATGCATGCATAGAAAACTCATGTTAGAAGGTCTAAAATAAAATGCTGGTAAATATTTTACTGATCTTGGAGTGAGTGAAGTCTTCATAATAAACTTGAAATGAAAAGAAACCATATAAAAACACAAACATTTTACTCAGTTTAAAAAAAGAAAAAGATGCAAAGTACTCACTATATCAGTCTGTTTCAGTTCCCTTATTTCTTTGTTAGCATTTAGGACTGGATTATGCTTGTACTTTCGGTGTATAGTTTTGTTTTAGAAAAGCATATTCTTGAGTTTTTGACAGGAAAAAATGCTTGTATTCAGGACTGTATAAGTTTTTTTTTTTCCCCGTCAGTCATTGTACTGGTAGTTCTTATTACAGAATAGAAGAAGCATTGACCATCTATAAGTAAAAGCTCCATTTTAGCTTTTACTTTCATCCAGTTCTGTCTAAAACAACCCAATCTCTTATGAAGTCAAATAACTTGATATTTCACCAGTAGTGAGTGAGGAAATAAAGCAAAAAAAAAAAAAACGAAACGAAGAGGAGTTCCACAATGGACGTTAATAATTACGAATTGCATATTTGACCCTTGACTAACTGAACATTGGCTACATTCACAGAGCCATAAAAGCATGTGTGCAGAATATGAGGTTAGTAACTTTCAGCAGTTGACATTAAAGATCAGTGAGTGAGTACTGTTGGGTTGTACTCTCATTGGGGAATCTCTTAATCTTGTCTTACCTATTGCTGGAATGTGAGGAGCCAGTGTGAAAATGTGTAAAAGTACTGTGGAAGCAGTAGAACAGTTTTCAGATACAAGTAATGATTTCTTTTGTAGATTCTGTGTTTTTAGAAAGCTGTGGCTCAAAATTGCTTTAAAGAAAAATCTTTAAATTGTGAGCAATTTATTTTCTTTACTCTTTGGTCATTTCCTTCCTTTCTTTTTTGTTTAACATTAGAGTTTATTGGTATTTTCATTTGTACTGCTAAACTACCCAGTGCTTTAGTGGTTACTGTTATATTTAAGCAGTATGGTCTTAAATCATTACCAATCTTTATTAGGGCAGAGAAGCTTACTCTTCTGGTCACCCAATTTTAAGAACGACAGTTTTGTCCTAAGCAAAGAGAAAGTTAAACATATTGAGTAAACCTAGAACACATTCAGAGAGCTTTCTGGTGACTGTTAGGTTGTTTTCAAAATTATAGATAATTTTCAATGTTAGTAATAAAATGTCAAAAACCTCCAAAAATTGTTCTTTTACTTTTTTCCTCCCTTATTACATTTTACTGTCTGTATATATATATATATATATTAGATGCAGGCAAAAACTTGGAGACTGAAGGTAGTCGTTGGTGGTGATTAACAGAAATATTAATAATCATTAAAAATTTTTGCAAGTCCAGAGGTTTTTATATATATATATCACTGCCAAGCTGGTTTAAAATAGTATTCAGAAAAAAATTTCAGTGTTATCAGAGTTTTCTTGGTTGCCTTCTTAAGTATTATAATTACATGAAACAAAACATAAGTAGAAAAACATACATCAGCCAAAGACTTTCAGTGTTTAACGTAAGGTCCTAGTAGTGATTACCCTGTCTTTTTTTTAAAAAACTGAGTGCAAAGAGATAATTTAAAACATTTTCAAGTCAGGAACTTCAGTTTAGAATTGATGAAAGTTCAAAAGTCACTTGTTCGTCTACTCGTATTAGTCTAAATGGTATGAAACTACTTGTTTTCCTGTCATTTTGTTTGCAGAACAGATCCTCGACCTTTGTCTGGATTTTGTGTCTTTTTTAAAAACTGATGAGAGAGCCCCCTCTGGTGTCTGAAATACCCTATCTTAAAACAATTATGTCAATCACAGGAAGTTTTGGGAATTAAACTAGCTGTTTCTTCCTTTCACATCTGAGCTTTTTTCTTTTTGTTTGTTTTCCTTTTTTAAAAGGTCACTGGAATTGTGGGTGGGACATGGAATGAGGGTAATAGAAAACATGGGAAAGGAAGAACCAAAATGCCATTTTTACCTTTTTAGAAATAGCTGTTTCTAAATGACCTGGAATAAAGCCAAACTATACAGTGTTTTTTTATTTTGTTTTTAGTTTTAGTTTACATTTGTTTCTGAATTAAGTGCAGCTAAAAAATACTTTGTTTTGGAATTTTTTATGCCCTCAGGTTTCATCTTGAGAGAGTTCTTTGAATTTTCCTATAGTAGCACTTTCACTGGAAAATGCCTTTAAAATAGAGCCTGATTGTCTTCTTGGAAGTGATCTGTTAATTTTTGTTGTTACAGTTGCCATATCCTTCTGTGGATATATTTATAACTGTATCATGTGTACTAATGCTAAATTATCATTTTACCTAGTTCCCATTGTTTTTCAACAACAACAAAAAGATTTCTTAAATTATTGGCTCTCTGCCGTCTCTCTATAAATGTACAGCACTCAAACACAGGCCTTCAACTAAGAATCTTGTGAAGGGTTATAGAAACAGGACCTTTCTCATTTGACTCATGGGCCTTTGTAGCTTGAACAAGGAAAGTAGTGTTCTGAAAACTACAGCATTTATGAAGGCTCTAGTAAAAATATTTCATGTACATGGACTGGAGATTAACTCCTTTCATCGTGTTCTCCCAAATTAAACAATGCAAACAGATTTCAAGTGCATTCTCTGTAATGAAATGCTTGGGTGAATTATAATTCTAATTGCTATTGTTCATTCCCACAGCTGCATTTTGACACTTTCAGCTGCTTAAGCCACACATTCTTCAGCCACTAGAATAAACAAAAGCATTCTGAAATCCATCATTTTGTGGCATCTTAAATTGCAAATCTGTCATTGGCCGCCTTGATTTTATTTTGGTTCCGTTGTTGACAAAGTTAGGAAAAAAATGTTACTTTTTCCCCCTATATTTATACACAAATTATTGTCAATAGAATCTTTACTGGATTTTATGAAAATTCATTCATTTATTGTTTTACAGTTTGAAGGAGGCAGTGGAGACTTTGGGTGTATTTTAGTCCCAGGGAAATAATTTATATTTATTAAACTAGTTGATATTTTTAGGAGGCAGCTTTCTCCAATATTTGAAATACCGTAATAAGATTTCACTTTTCTTTAGTAGAACAGTGTTCTGAGTATAAATCTAGAAGGCAGATCTATTCAGAAATTTGGCAAGTCACATCTGTGTACACAATGGTTCTTTTAAAACTTAAACCCAAATTGTTATTAGTGTCTTCCTTAAAGGTAAAGAAATCGAAGCATTTGTAATACATTTGGAATTTATATCTCTTTATATTTTAGAAAGAAATTTGAGTGCCAGTTTCAACCAAACCTTCTTATTAAAAAAAATACATATTTTTTTGATAGCCAAAAAACCATTTGACAAAAGTAGAAGGTGTATGTAAGTAGTAGTTACCAAATTCTAATTTTTCACTATTTCTAATGCATAAGCGGAAGATCTGAATTAGCATATTCACAGACATGTGTTATAACAATTGTTCAATAATAATTAGAGCTTTAGATATCAAATAAATGCTACTATAATGTCACATTTTCCCTATATTTCTTTATTCTTTCTCAGAATGACTTTGAATTCTTAAATTCATATAAGCATGAGGAATTGTTTTAACAAGCAAACTCTTTGCCATTTTTTTTTTAACAACCAAACTCTGCCATTTCATGTCTTAATTTTAAGGTATTCTTTCAAAGTTAATGATTTCTTATAAAATATTGTTTAATCTTTTTAAATTCTAATAGGTGATTATTAATCTTTAATAATAATAATAGCTAACACTTAATGAGCACTTTCTATATGTCAGGCACTGTGCTAATAGGTACCATTTGATATGCTATAAAAACATTTTAAGGTAGATAATCTTATTTATTCCCGTTTTATGTTTGAAGAAACTGAGATTAAGAAATTAAAATAATTTTGCCAGAAGTCACAGAGTAAGTGATTGGAGTCAGGTCTTTCTGACTCCTGGAGCCCATGTTCATTACCACTGTTGGAATCTTAAGGGAATGTTAAATACACAATGATACTGTCTCTTGGTGGAATATTATATAGCCAATAAAGTGAGGGTTACTGTGGCTATGTAATGACTTGGGAAAATGCATGTGATACAATCAGTGGGAAAAAAAAAAGACTGGGAGATTACACTTAAATGTTCATCTTTAGAGAATTTTATCTTTGATTTGTCATTGCTTTCTTTTTAATGTGATAATAATGTTTGGCTGTTATCCAAATTTTGCTGATTAATGTATAGAATTTCTGTAAGCCTGCATGTAAACCAGGTCTGGTCAGGAAACTGACAACTTAGTTTTATAATAGACTCTACCAGTTCACTTTCCTTTTCAATTTGACCCAAAGCCATTTTTTTTACTGGACCTTTGCCAGCTCTAATGTAATCTCTCATCTGTATTCTTGAAGGCTAATGGAATAGTAAAATCTTCTGAAAGATAACTTAAATGTGTTACATAGTATCCTCAGGGTAGCTTTTGCACAAAAGATGTTTTCTTTCCCACCCTGTAAAGGTTTCTCATTAGGACACCCAGTAGTTTCATTATTAAGTTTTCATGTGTTTCTCAGTTTTGATGCTAATCTTTATGTGTATGTACGTGCATTTTTTTCTCTGCAGCACCAATGTGGTTATGAATTATTCAGAGATTGAGTCTAAGGTTCGAGAAGCAACGAATGATGATCCTTGGGGACCTTCTGGGCAACTCATGGGAGAGATTGCCAAGTAAGTGATAATTTGATTCGGCAGTGCAGAAAGAATCCAAGTATCTTTACACAGAAATATGAAATTTGCTTTTGATTGTAAACTATTTAGCTACCAAATATAATTTTGCATAATCAGATAGTAATGTAGAAAGTTTTGGGCAGGGTCCGTTCTCTTTAAAAACTAGCTTAAAAAAATAAAACACAATATTTGTTTTTCAGTGATAGCTAGCCACTGTAGCTTACTATGTAAAATTCTGACAAATGCATATAAAATAACAAGAAGTAAAATTATAAAAAAAATTTCCTGATGAACATCTGGACCACTGTGCCAGTGAGTATAGGGCTTATAAAGCGTAATATTAATTTTTGGGGCTTACAAATGCGCTACGTATTGTACAAACTATAGGAAAGACATTTTCAAGGAAGTGTATCTAAATTTTTTGAAATAAGGTTACTAATTTTTTTAAGCTGTTTGGGAAAACACAGTCACTTAGAACAAGCCTGCCATCTACTGTCAAAGTTAACATATTGCAAACTCTTAAGGAAAATTGCTCTCTTTTTTCAGGGCTACATTTATGTATGAACAGTTTCCGGAGCTTATGAACATGCTTTGGTCACGAATGTTAAAAGACAACAAAAAGAATTGGAGAAGAGTTTATAAGGTATGGACATAAGTCTATTTTTATTATTCGACAAATGCTTTGAAAACAAATACTCGAAACATTAGGTGTATATACGTAAATTATTTTGACGCATATTAAATCCTAGAGTAACATTCTAGAACAGGTAAAAAAGTGATTTGCTGTTTGTGTTCTGTTTTATGGTCATCATAAACTATTCTCAATGTGAAATGTTTAAAATTAATATTCATAATACTTCTAAATGTTTAGTATTTTTATTTGTTAAAATTTTTCCTGCTAAGTACATAGTTGTGCATATAAAAAATAATCTATAATAATGTAGATGTTTAGTGTATGGACAGTTACGAAAACCACAGTCTAAAATGGTTTGTCATCTCTGCATAAAAACTTGCCTAATTCATAACTTAGTATTATCACAGTATTCTAAACCAAAAAATACGTAACATATAATTTAAAATACAATAATTAGAGATTCTGAAGCATACTAGATTTAAATTCTAACATTTAAGATTTTCAAATATGTACTCTTTATCAGATTCCTTTATCATTTGTTCTCATCTCTTAATCACATGATACAGAATTCCAAAGCAAGATAGTCATCTCTTCTACCTCCACCATATTTTCTTGTGATTCAGAATAAGTTTTTCTGTGCTGTCTAGCATTCAGTATGAAACTTTGAAAGTAATGTTTCTGGCTGTCAGAATTGAAAAATCTATACTTTAATTCCTTGATTTTTTTTTTGTTTGTTTCTTTCTAAAAAACATTCACTGTCATTCCCTTAGTTTGTACAGTAGATGTGATCAAATAGTTAAAATCACTAAATTAAATTTCCTTTTTAAAATGAGTTTTTTTTTTTAAAAAGAAACTTTGGTGAACTACTTTTTTAAAGAATAAAATCTCGTAGGATGAGATTTTGTGCCCTCAATTTCACCAGCATAACTCAAATTTTCATGTATCTAATCATCTCTAAATGGAGCCCTGGTGGTGGCACAGTGATTAAGCTATTGGCTGCTAACCGAACTTCGGCAGTTCGAACTCACCAGCCGCTCCACGGGAGAAAGATGTGGTTAGTCTGCTTTCGTCATTTTTTATAACCTTTGGAACCCTATGGGACAGTTCTACTCTGTCCTATAGGGTCTTTATGAGTCAGAATCAACTTGACAGCAGTGGGCTTAATCATCTTGAAGTAAGCTTTGTTCCAAGCAATATTAAGTTCCATTTTTGTTTACTCTCACTATCAATAAGAATTTTAAAGTGTACAGTTTAGTGGTTGTTAACATAATGGCATTTGTACAGTAATCACCACTACTCAATTCCAGAACATTTCCATCACCCCAGAAAGAAACCCCATACTCGTTAGCAGTCATTCCAAGTGCACTTTTTAACAAAATTTTCTTAAATGTTGAGTCTTTTATTTGTTGGCAGTGTCTTGTCGAAACAAAAGCCACATACATCATCTATGGTCAGAAGTTAAATTTTAACCGGGGAAAATATTATGGAAATATTTAATTATGAATTAATTGTTCTCTTTAAACCAATGTGTCTAATAATTCATGGTTCCATAGTACCCAGGTGAAAAGTGAAAACCAAGCCAGTTTTCTGCAGCTTAGTGTTTATTTACACCATACATTCAGATGTTTATGGACATCGGAAGTATTGATTTTTTTTTTTTAAATCTTTTAATACAAGGTGTCTGTTGGATAGTTTATAATTATTTTTTATGCTTGGTATAAGGAGAACTTTAAATTGATAAGTTCTGGACTGTATTTAAAGTCTAGTGTAAAGTTAAGAAACTCCCCCCCCCCCAGAAATTATTTATTTGCTAATATTTGAATTTTTTTTTTAATGACTTAACAAAGCTCTACTAGAATTTCTTACGTTAAAATCATTTGGTGCTTTGTATTTTCACAGTCGCTACTGCTCCTAGCTTACCTCATAAGGAATGGATCAGAGCGTGTTGTTACAAGTGCCAGAGAACACATTTATGATTTGCGATCCCTGGAAAATTACCACTTTGTAGGTGAGCAATAGAAAAATCTTATAAGCAAATTAAAACAGTAGTTGGAGTTGTCAGTCACTTGAACCAGCTTAGAAGCTTCTCTGCTCTAATTAGAATGTGACTGTTGCTGGTTGTGTGACGAGTGCAGAATCGAAGACGTGGGGCCCTAGAGTATTAATTAGTGAAGACAAGAACTTGCAGAAAAGACTGGCTAATAACAACAGAACCAACACAACATGAGTGTTCGGGTTTATATTAAAATATGCACTGGAGACTGGTCCCCTGTGGTGTCCATAAAGGAATAGCTTTAATCATATGGGAAGAAAAGGTTAGGGCTCCAAAACACACACATCTGTTTGAAGCTGGGTTTGTTTTTTTCCTCCCACCAAATAATATTTACTGTGCAAAGGCAGCAAGGCCAGAGTGTGTTTTGAATGTGAAAGAGGCTAGAGAATGAAGCACATTTCATTTTGTAGCATACCCCAGTTGAAAGCACTTTAAGAATTCAGTTTTTCAGCAGTACTAAATCCTGGCAATTAGTGTTTCCAAACTCGTATTGGTGAAACCAAGGTGTATGTTAAATTGGGTTTTGTTTTTTTAAGTTAAAATAACAATAGAAAAAGAAAATAACATGACTGTGAATCCATTTCATAAGATCATCATCCTTAATCTTTTTTAGTGAATCTTTAATTGACCTTGCCTATTACCATTACATGTAGTCCCTTTTAGTTAATCTATAAATGATCTTATAAACCAAAATTGCATTTCAAGACACTGAATTAGCTGAAGAGGAAATGACAAAGTTGAAAAGCACAGTTTACCTCTTTTTATTATTTTTTAAACTATTGAAAGATACATCGATTTCTTATAATACAGAATTTTACTATCTGTTTTTGAAAGCATTTGATACATCTGAAATTAATTCTTAAGGTTTTATTTCTCCCTTACCATCCTCACAGATGAGCATGGCAAGGATCAGGGTATAAATATTCGCCAGAAGGTAAAAGAATTGGTTGAATTTGCCCAGGATGATGACAGACTTCGTGAAGAGCGAAAAAAAGCAAAGAAGAACAAAGACAAGTATGTTGGGGTTTCCTCAGACAGTGTTGGAGGATTCAGATACAGTGAGTATCAAAGACAGACTGGCACCTCAGCATCGAGTTAGCTACCTAGATGTGTATTGTTTAAGAGTCATTAAAATACTAAAGACCAAAAGGCCATTTATTCAGCAATATGTAGAATACTAAAATGTATACAGTACTTATTCTGCTGTCTAGCAAATGGATTTTGGGAATCTTTCTGTCAGCTTTTTTGTTTTGTGTGTTCAAGAATATGATTTTAACTATTAATGGTTAAGTAAATGTGAACTTTGAGTTGACATACAGAGTAAAACAGATATGTACTCTTCTTTCTTAGGGTTGCTGTTCTTTAAAAAAAAGTTAGTCCTGCCTCTCTCCTCTTAATTAAGTGATGTATAAAATGTTAATTTGGCATAGAAGATGACTGGTGATACTGTCACATTTTTCTTCTAGGCCAGTCACTTTGTTTTATGTTCATGGCACATTTAAGAGCAGCTAGAACATTCATGTCTCATGTTTATTTGTAATGTAATAATATAGTTTCCTTAAAATAGGGCACCTGGTGCTTGAAAGCAGATATGCAAAATAAGGAGAACTCTGACAACCCTCTTGGTCATTTTGTGTATGTACAGACAGGCCAGTGCATGTATATCTTAGCAGCTATGTGTTGGTACTCTCCAGCTCCCCACCTATGTCTAAATTTGTTTTGTTTATAGGGATTTTCCTGAGATCTCTTAGCTTCTTCACTGAAACTGTAAAAATCTTTCATTTCTTATTTCATGATTAACTATATGATAACTTACTGTCTTTGCTCCTTTGCTTCTCTACCTTCCTGCCTTTAAAGAAAAAATACTGCACCTAATCAACTGTTTAAGGGTATTTCTAACAGCAGAAAATCCTTTTTTAAATGTCTGAGCATCACATTAAAGTCAGTTTTTGAATTGGACAAGAATATTTCTCTTAAATAAAGAAAATAAATATGTTTTGGAGGTTTTTATTTGTTTGGGGAAGCAGGAAGTTTTGGATTAATTGGCTAAGTAGTTATTTTATTCTTTAGCTTTTTCAAAGTAGCTACAACAATTTAATGTGTTTTTGAGTAGAAATTGCTATTTGCAACGCATTTCCTTATTCCACTTGCCCATATTTCTCTTTTTACCAGCACAATATGTAATTATATAGATAAAATTAGAAAATTGAGTAAGTTTTCACACTCAGTCACAATGAACTAAGTGCAGCATCTGCATTAGAGGTGTAATTGAACGTTCTGTGTTTGCATCACATTCTTTGCAAAATTATTTTTAATGTTTCATATTATTCAGATTTAACTAATCAACTTTATCTATTTTGTGTGTTTTTTTATTTTGGAATTAGATAACAACTTACCAGTATCTAATATCCTTAGCACTGATTTAGCATAGTATCTGCTATGCTGATCAGTTTGGTTCTCACCTACTTTGATTTTTCCTACAAATTTGCTCATTACATTGTTGTTGAGATGTGCATACACATTGTTGAAACAGCACTTATTTTTGGGAAGATTTTGTCTAGAAAACTTTTTGCCATGTTCTCTAAGTTGTTGGTCACTTTCAGATTTTGTAAAGATAATTTAAAATCCTCTAGCTCTTGCATAAAAGTTTTAGTCATGCAGTTTTATTAGGTAATTCAGCAAAATGGTTTTGTTAAATCTTCATAGAGCATGCATACCATCAGAATTTGTTTAAAAGCTCAGTTATTACTCATTTTTCAATTATTTTGTTGTTCTTCATTACTCTTTTCCAATTTTTTCAACCTGCTTTCATTTTCTTCCTTTTTGTAAACCTCATGTGATTTCTCTTTACTTTCCATTCTTGCCTCTTAAGTTGGGTTCGGACATGGAAATGGAAGGGTTCCATTTAGTGCACATTATTGCAAGGACTAAGACAAATCTTGCCATTTTGGTTTGAGATTTGTTCACTTCTATGCTTTATTTCCTTCATTCTCATACTCACTCAGAGGCTCCCTCGGGTTCTGTAGTCTGAGCATATATTCAGACTTGGTGTTTGAATACCTCATTAATAGCTGCCATCAAGTCGACTTCAATTCATGGCTACTCCACGTGTGTCATAGTAAAACTGTGCTCCGTAGAGTTTTTGATGGCTGATTTTTCAAAAGTTGATTGCCAAGCCTTTCTTCCGAGGCACCTCTGTGTAGACTTGAACCTCCAACCTTCCAGCTAGCAGCCGAGTATGTTAAACATTTGCACCACCCAGAGACTGGTGATCACTCTTCTGAACTACTTGAGCGTACTTCGTGATTCTAGTGTGTATAGTTTTGTCAATTAGAATATTCTCTTTTTGCAGTAATTACAAAAAGGTTTTCCCATGCCTGAAAATCCACTGAGTTATTTTCTTGTTTGACACTAATGAATGACAATTACTGAGTCCTTTCAGCATATCGGTACATGAAGCATTCAGAATGGAGTTTCCTTTAGTTTGTGTTTTTTAAGAGACTGTTGCTGTCCGATAATTTTCCAATAGTTGAAAAACCATTAAGAGACAGGAATGAAATACAGTGAATTAAGTGATTTTTATTAAAACAAAAAGATTTCCATTTCTCTTTCATTTGTGTACCTTGCGTTAGTTTTTGTGTTTACTACTCCTTTCAACAGCATTTAAGAACTTCCTGATATGCTGTGTTGTGCATTAAGATCGTGTAAGTTTTCATAAACAAAACCTTTTGAATCTGCATTCCTGCCACTTAATGACTGGCATTACATGCTATGCCTTGCTGTAATTGTGTTGATTCAGCACTATGGGAGCTTTCTGTTTTCCTTTGAAAACTATTTTATTATGAGGAAAAGCTTCAGAAATAAGGACTGTAGATATCTTTTGAATTTAATGTCTTTAGAGCTGCTTCTCTTTTTAATGCTTTATATAGGTGAAAGATATGATCCTGAGCCCAAATCAAAATGGGATGAGGAGTGGGATAAAAACAAGAGTGCTTTTCCATTCAGTGATAAATTAGGTGAACTGAGTGATAAAATTGGAAGCACAATTGATGACACCATCAGCAAGTTCCGGAGGAAAGATAGAGAAGACTCTCCAGAAAGGTGCAGGTATTAACGCTTTGTCTCCTGGGTCTCTTGAAAAGGGTGCTAAATTTTTGCAGGTGTTTTTAAAATGCCATGTCAAACATTATTTGCAGTTAGTATTGACACACTTTACAGGTTGTCTCCGTTTATTTCTAAAGTTGATCATGTCTCCTATATATTTTTATCAAGTTACTTATTCTTTTATTGGGAAAAAAATTTTTTTTTTCAACAAGAGTTTTTACAACTTATTTTGCATTTGGATGTCAGATGATCCAGGGACCTAAGGTATTATTGAAAGGTAATGAAGTATAAAAGAAATGAAATTTAAATCCTCCCTTGGCATTTCATTATGATTCTGTACCAGTGTGTACCAGAAAAAAAAGCCTCAAATGGACTTTTGGACCAAATAGTTATCAAGTGTAGACCTGTATTTTTATAAACTACAATTTTATGATGGTAGTGCATTTGCTTTCACTTTTACAATTTCTTGAAACTTTGCATTCACTTTTTGTTCTTACCAATAGAGCATATATAGTTTTTCTGCCAGTTTAAAGGGGGATGCCTAGCACTTAATTGGAAAAGCAGGTTTTACAAAACTTTTATCATTTCTGTCTGATAATATCCCTATTAGATAGAGTAGAGCAAGGCTTTTACCTTTATTTTTCAGAGGTAAAACCTGAGGCTCATTCAAATAGAACTTGCTTAAAGTAACACAGTTAGTGATGGGGGTTGTTAAAAAGAAGTATATAAACAAATTCTGAAACTATTTACCTTCTGTAATATTTGCCTAATGTCTTTTCAGTATGTTTCCATACTTGTTAAATGCTGGGAGTGGCTGTGTTTTTCAAGACTATTTCTGGAGTGTGATCTTTGAAGAGCCAGAATTCATTTTAGTACACTTTTAGTATATTATTTTACAATTACATTTCTAGCTCCTTTATACCGAAAGAGTATGCATATGATAATTATAAATAATAAACTTTGGGAAATGATGCTTAAAATATTCGAGGCTGTTTTTCTTTCATTAATGTTCTTGTGGCCTATATATAAGCTTTTGGTTTAGTTTGGAAAACATAGTGGCCAGATAGTCTATTGATACCTCCTAAGAAAGGATGGGGCTCAGGTACATAACCTAGTTAGAGATCTGTGTACATACTTGTGTTGTTACTTTCTTTTTTGCCCTTCCCTCCTGTTTTTCTTTGCTTACTTTGTCTCTCTTTATTCCTTGGTTTTCTTCTTTTTCTGTGTTGCCTTGAATAGGATCTGCTATAGTTTGTAGTTCCTGAGTTTTTATTTAGATTATTAAGATTTAAAAGAGTGAAAATGTGGCAAATGTGATTTGTCATAGTAAGTAAAAAACACATCTAGAAGCTTGCATCTTGGGGTATTTGTGAGAAAAGAGATTTTTAGACAAAGGTGAACATGACCTTTCTGGCATAATACCAGGTTTTCAGACTTGTAGTACCTATTACATTCAGGAATTCTTGAACATTGATCAGATATGAAGTTTTCATTTCACTGTATGTAGGCAGGTTATATGCTCAAGTTGTAAAGAAATTTTTCTTGCACTGAAATAAAATTGTCTTTAGGTGCCATCAGTTCAGTTCCAACTCATAGGGACCCCAGCGTACAATAGAACAAAACACTGCCCAGTCCTGCACCATCCTCACAATCACTGCTATGTTTGAGCCCATTGTTGCAGCCACTGTGTCAGTCCATCTCAAGGGTCTTCCTCTTTTTTGCTGACCCTCTACTTTACCAAGCATGATGACCTTCCCCAGGGTCTGGTCCTCCTGATAACACGTCCAAATTACATGAGATGAAGTCTCACCATCCTTGGTCCCAAGAAGTATTCTGGCTGTACTTCTTCAAAGATAGATTTGTGGGTTCTTCTGGCAGTCCACGGTATAGTCAATTTTCTTTGCCAACACCATAATTCAAAGGCATCAATTCTTCTTCGGTCTTCCTTATTCATTGTCCAACTTCCGCATGCGTATGAGACAATTGAAAGTACCATGGCTTGGGTCAGGTACACCTTAGTCCTCAAAGAGACATCTTTGCTTTTTAACATTTTAAAGAGGTATTTTGCAGCACATTTACCTAATGCAATAAGTCGTTTGATTTCTTGACTGCTGCTTCAGTGGGCATTGATTGTGGATCCATGTAAAATGAAATCTTGACAATGTCAGTATTTTCTTCATTCATGATGATGTTGCTTATTGGTCCAGTTGTGAGGAATTTCATTTTCTTTTATGTTGAGGTATAATCCATATTGAAGGCTGTAGTCTTTGATCTTCATCAGTAAGTGTTTCGAGTCTTCTTCACTTTCAGCAAGTGTCTTGGTCATCTAGTACTGCTGTAACAGAAATACCACAAGTGGATGGCTTTTAACAAAGAGAAATTTATTCTCTCACAGTCTAGTAGGCTAGAAGTCCAAATTCAAAGCATCAGCTCCAGGGGAAGCCTTGCTCTCCTGTCGACTCTGGAGGAAGGTCCTTGTAGTACATGTCTTCCCTTGGTCTGGGAGCTTCTCTGCGCAGGAACCTCAGGTCCAAAGGACACGCTCTGCTCTTGGCACTGTGTTCTTGGTGGTGTGAGGTTCCTGTGTGTCTTTGCTTGCTTCTCTCTTTTATATCTCAAATGAGATTGGCTTAAGACACTATCCAATCTTGTATACCTCATCAGTATAACTGCCGCTAATCCATCTTATTACATCATAGTGATAGAGTTTACAACACATAAGGAAATCACATCAGATTACAAAATGGTACACAGTCATACAATACTGGGAAACATGACACAGCCAAGTTGACAGATATTTTTGGGGGACACAGTTCAATCCACGACAGCAAGCAAGCAAGGTTGTGTCATCTGCATATCACAAGTTGTTAATGAGTCTTCCTTTAGTCCTGATGCCACATTCTTCATATAGTCCAGTTTCTCACATTAATTTGCTGAACGTGCATATTGAATAAGTATGGTAAAAGGTTACAACCCTTACGCACACCTTTCCAGATTTTAAACCGTGCAGTATCTCCTTGTTCTTTTCAAATGACTGCCTCTTGGTCTATGAACAGGTTCCTCATGAGCACAATTAAGTGTTCTGAAATTCCCATTCTTTGCAGTGTTACCCATAATTTGTTATGATCCACACAGTCGAATGCCTTTGTACAGTCAATAAAACACAAGATCCATCTGATATCAGCAATGACATTCCTTGTTCCACGTCCTCTTCTGAATCAGCTTGAATTTTTGGCAGTTACCTGTCGATGTACTGCTGCAACTGCTTTTGAATTATCTTCAACAAAATTTTAAGTTGTGTGTGATATTAATAATATTGTTAGATAATTTCTGCATTCTCTTGGATCACCTTTCTTTGGAATGGACATGTACATGGATCTCTTCCAGTCAGTTGGCCAGGTATTTGTCTTCCAAATTTCTTGGCATAGACAAGTGAGCGCTTCCAGCGTTGCATCCATTTGTTGAAACAGTTGGTATTCTGTCGATTCCTACAGCCTTGTTTTTCGCCAATGCCTTCAGTGCAGTTTGGACTTCTTCCTTTGATACTGTCGTTCCTGATCATGTGCTACCTCCTAAAATAGTTGAATGTCGACCAGTTGTTTTTGGCGCAGTGACTCTGTATATTCCTTCCACCTTCTTTTGATGCTTCCTGCATCATTCAGTATTTTGCCCATAGGATCCTTCAGTATTGCAACTCAAGACTTGAATCTTTTCTTCAGTTCTTTAAGCTTGAGAAATGCCAAACATATTCTTCCCTTTTGGTTTTCTAACTCCAGGTCTTTGCATATTTCATTATAATATTTTACTTTGTGTTCTTGAGCTGCCCTTTGAAATCTTCTGTACAGCTCTTTTACTTCATCGTTTCTTTGGTTCACTTTAGCTACTCTGCATTCAAAATCAAGTTTCAGAGTCTCTTGACATCCATTTTGGTCTTTTCTTTCTTTCCTGGGTTTTTAATGACCTTTTGCTTTCTTTATGTATGATGTCCTTGATGTCATCCTGCAGCTCGTCTGGTCTTTGGTCATTAGTGTTCAGTGCATCAGATCTGTACTTAAGATAGTCTTTAAATTCAGGTGGGATATACTCAAGGATATACTCAAGTCTCATGGACTTATTTTAATTTTCTTCAGTTGCAACTTACACTTGCATATGAGCAGTTGATGGTCTGTTCCACAGTTGGCCCCTGGCCTTGTTCTGATGATGATATTGAGCTCCTCCATCGTCTCTTTCCACAGATGTAGTCAATTTGATTCCTGTGTATTCCATCTGGCAAGGTCCACATGTATAGTCTCCATTTATGTTGTTGAAAAAGGTATTTCCAATGACTAGGTCATTGGTCTTGTAAAATTCTACCATGCTATCTCTGACGTCATTTCTATCACTAAGGTCATATTTTCCAGCTACTGATCCTTCTTCTTTATTTCCAGCTTTCTCAGTCCAATCACCAGTAATTATCAATGCATCTTAATGGCATGTTTGATCAATTTCAGACTGTAGAAGTTGGTAAATATCTTCAGTTTCTTCATCTTTGACCTTAGTGGTTAGTGCATAAATTTAAATAATAGTCGTATTAACTGGTCTTCCTTGTAGGTGTATGGATAGTATCCTATCAATGACAGCATTGTGCTTCAGGATAGCTCTTGAAATGTTCTTTTTGACAATGAATGCGACACCATTCCCCTTCAATTTGCCATTCCTGGCATAGTAGCCCATGATTGTCCGATTCACAATGGTCAATACCAGTCCATTTCAGCTCACTAATGCCAAGGATATCCATCTTCAAAGCGTTACGTTTCATTTTTGACGACTTCCAATTTTCCTAGATCCATACTTTGTACATTCCATGTTCCGATTAGTAATGGATGTTTGCAGCTGTTTCTTCTCATTTTGAGTCATGCCACATCAGCAAATGAAGGTCCCTAAAGCTTGATCTGTGTCATTAAGGTTGACTTTACTTTGAGGGCACAGCTCTTCCCCAGTCATATTTTGAGTGCCTTCCAACCCAAGTGGCTCATCTTCTGGCACTGTATCAGACAATGTTCTACTGCTATTTAAGGCTTTCACTGGCCAGTTTTTTTCAAAGTAGATCATCAGGTCCTTCTTCCTAGTCTTCCTTAGTCTGGAAGCTTTGCTGAAACCTGTCCACCATGTGTGTCCCTGTTAGTATTTCAAGTGCCGGTGGCATAGCTTCCTGCATCACAACAACACACAAGCCACCACAGTACGACAGACTCAGTTGGACAGGTTTCTTCCCCCAAAGAGGTTTCTTATTAGTGATTGGCAAGGGCTTTTGCACACATATTAGAACTTGTTGGTTCCCTATATAAAAATACATTTAATCCCTTTGCTCTTTGTAGAAAGCCATTCTTGATCCTTGATTCTGCAAGTCCCAGATTGGCTTATTTTAAGTAGAAAATTGCTTTAAATTAGTCTGATTCAAACTGCATCAGTAATAATAGTCGTAGTTTAATGGAGAATTTTAGCGTTTTATTCTAGGTTTTTAATAAATATTTCGATGTTATAAATATTATAAAATTTCGGTGTTATAAGTTACCTACTCTAAAATTAAGTAATATAGGTAATGGCACATATTCCAGATAATATTTCTCTTTCTCTTCCCTCCCTGTCTTCCTTCTTTCCTCCTTCCCTCTTCCCCCCTCTCCTGCTTGCACCAGAAAAAAACCAGTGCCTTGTTACTGGAGAACAAAGTAGTACTGACATTTTGAGTCCCAGCATAGGAAAAAAGTACTTTTTTACTCAGTTTTTTTCTTTTGCTATATTAAAAAAATATATATATTTTTGAATGAAAATGTGCCTGAAAGGGAATTATTTTAAAAATGCTTTAAATATAGTCAGGTTTTCTTTACTTTCCTGAGTTATATAAAAGCTTTATCTCCTAATACTGTAGTAAAATAGAGCACAGTTGTTATGAAGTGCGTTACCTCACATATTTCTGCATTTTAATCATTTGGATTCAGAGTGGATAATATTTAAAAGGTATCCATTGAAATTGTAATACTTTATTATGTATGTGCCTTGCTACATGGGAATTGATGACAGAATTACATTATATAAATGGAACTGTAGCCATTTCCACACAATCCATTTCAAAAAAATGGCCATCAAATGCAGATATTTGAACTACCAGGGTCTCATTAGTTGATTCTGGTATGATAATAATCCTGCTACTTTATTTTTAATTAAGCTTTAAATCTGTAATAAATAAGCACTTGAGTTAGTTTGGACCTTTTTTATTTGTACACGTTGATGTAAATACTTTTTTGTAGCAGTGTTTTAGACTTACCTAGGGAATTCTGCGGGTTCCCACTTCCCCTCCCCAATATTCACTCATCATTATTCAGATAGCTTAGATAACATTCTGTTGATTCCTGTCAAAGTATAGAATTTTGGAGTTGCTGCATTTGAAATTCTTTAGCTCAAATCATTGAGGACTCCATTTTAAGATAATCCCAAGTCTTATTATTTTGCTTAATTTTTAATATCTTTTAGCGACAGTGATGAGGAAAAGAAAGCAAGAAGAGGCAGATCTCCCAAAGGTGAATTCAAAGATGAAGAGGAGACTGTGACAACAAAGCATATCCATATCACACAGGCCACAGAGACCACCACAACGAGACACAAGCGCACAGCAAATCCTTCCAAAACCATTGATCTGGGAGCAGCAGCACATTACACAGGGGACAAAGCAAGTCCAGATCAGAATGCTTCAACCCATACACCGCAGTCTTCAGTTAAGGTGAGAATGGCATGAGTTTACACATTATACAGTTTTATTGTTATAAACTACTTTTAGAATTCCTACATTAGTAGGCTCGTGCGTTTCTGGGCAATCGTATTAATTATAAATCATCTGGCGTGTATTACTCAGAGTCATTAATAATAAGAAACCTCTTTGGGGGAAGAAACATGTCCAACTGCTGAACGATTTTCTATGCACTTTCTATGAAAGTAGAAATAACAGCCTTGGTTCATTTGGGAAAGGTTGTGAATCAGAATGTAGTGCATCTATTCCTTCTAGATACCGCCACTGGTTACCAAGCACAGCTTGATTCACGAAGGAAAACAAGGAAGTATTTGGAAGTTTTTAAAATGACAAACGAGGCACTAAGTCGATACATACGAGCAATGATCTCATTTTACATAGCAATGATACCTATAAAAGGAGGCTTATTTGCCTGGTGATCACTACTGATCAGTATGGAAGCACTGCTTCTTGTACCTTCATAATTTGTTTTTTATTTACCATGGAAATGAAATCCACCCTACTGGGTACCTGGCCACAGGCTACTCTTCTGAATAGAAGTCTGCCAGAGAGAGAGATTTGCCCCTTTGTCATTTTTGTCACTTTTCCGCCACTAGTGTTCACTCAGCTTTCTCTTTGCATCAGAAATAGCTAAAAGCTGGGGGAGATTTTTTTTTTTTTTTTAATGTATTTTGCAAATTTTAAGTGACTGTAGAAATAAAGCTAGGCCCACTTAGTTACAAGGACAAGTACTGTACCAACTTTCGCCAGATATCTTCTGGACCGGTGTATAATTTCACTCATGCTGTGCTCTTTTTAGTTTTGATGAAAACCTCAAAATTATAACTCACCTGTGGTTGTAGTTAAAGAAAGCAAATGGCTCTGTCATTTCTTTGAGGTCTTAGGTTTCCCCTGCTGTGGATACAGGTAACTTACTGATGGCTGTTAGGATCTGGTAGATAGTAATACTAATTAAAACCCAAATGCATGATGGCTGTTGTATCGGGAACTCAATTTAAGATTACAGGAAGAAAATCATCAAATCTCTATAATAGTTTTTATTTGTACAAGAAATTGACACTTTCATGTCTTAAAGAATTTTAAATATCAGTTTTTACTACTTCCTGAATGTATGACACTCTGCCATAAATATTTTATGTTTGTAATATAAGCTTTTTTGTTTGTTTTTATATTTTAAAAATGTGTAGAAGGCTGAAGTTCTTGAAAAGTTACCCAACTGCTTCTGATCCCTTTCCATCTCAAGGTCGTTTTGAACCACAATATAGTATTTTAATCTTCAAAGATCAAATTAAAATGCTTAGGAACTTACAGTGTCTCCCTATTGTCTAGCAATTCAGTAATTCAGCATGTATGTATTGAACATAACAGGGCATATGCATCAGGGTGCTTAGCACTGTGGAGAAGACAGAAATAGTATTACCGCTTCAAGCAAGCCCTGCAAGTTAGTTCAGGAGTTAAATATGAAACAATTAGGAATCAATGTATCCACACCACATGGAGTTCTACTAAGGTATGTGGTGTACAAACAATAAGTGTTGATAAAATTCATAGAATTTTAGAGCTGGATGGGATCTTGGCCTCTGATCCAGTGGATTTCAACCCTCTTAATGCATTGGAATTATCAGTGGAGCTTTATGACTATACAGGCCAAGGCTGCTCCCTGGACAGTTATGATTCAGTATGTCGCGATGGCATTGAGGCGTATATATTAATGTCTCACAAATGATTCTGATACACATAGCATTAAGATTTGAGTGCGATCTGAAATGTATGTTTTTCAGAGTGAAATGCAGTAAGAAGGTAAATGAGTTAGGAAAAAGAGGGGTGTGGACAATAAGGACTTTTACAGTGCTGGGAATACAATTAACTTAAATAATACTACCTCTCCATAAGGATTCAGGGTCATTGCTGTTTCCAGAAAACTGAATCTAGTCTTATTAAGATAATTACAAGTATTTGTGTCAAAGTTAAGAATTAGAGATGGTGAGCTGATTAAAACATTAAAACTTAGTTTTTTCCCATTGAAACCTTTTAGAAAAAAAAATCATTGTTTTCTAAGCTTATTAGTTAAATGTGTTTGTTTTCAGACTTCAGTGCCTAGCGGCAAGTCATCTGGTGACCTTGTTGATCTGTTTGATGGTGCCAGCCAATCAACAGGTAAGCTTCCACATTGGCTTATTTCTTTTTAGTAACCTAGGTTTGAGAATCATTAAAAAAAAAAAGATTTCAAATGAGAAAGAAAATTGGTATTTTTTTTGCACTGGATGTATTTTTAATGTGAAAGTAGTGAGCCTTGAGCATTATTTGGGGGGATTGTTTAATTGCCTAAAACAAGGGAGAAGAATGCTTAAATGTTTGATAATTCAGTAATCTCTCCCTCTTCCTGATTTCTTTAGCACCAGTGGTCATTACCACTCATTAGAACTATCTATCGTGTTCTTACTGTTTATCTTTTGATATATGCATCCATTTCCCCATTATCACTTAAAAGAAATACACCCTGTTTTACACATTTTTCTGACCTTAAAACCTAGTAAAACCTTATTTGTGGTAGTCAGTAAATATTCGCCAATAATAATGGTATTCTCAAATCACTATAATATTTACATTTTAATGACTGACTACATCTGATATAGTGCCTCCTACCGATTAATAATAAATGATATTTCAAGGCTAGTGTACTTTCTGAAATTTTCCGTGATCAAAGATTTTGGTGGATTATAGTTCCCATTTTTAATTTTGTTAACTTGGAGAAACATGAAGTGTACTACTACTGTAAATTAAAACTGCCTGAGTATTTAGGATCCTTTGCTTTCTTCATAAGCAAAATGTACTGCTCTGCCCATTTTACTGTTGTTACCTAAATCTTAATCTGGTTCTCAACATTAGATATACCTAGAGTTCATTTAACATTTCATTCCTTTCTTCAACAAATATTTATTGAACCAGACACTTGTCTTGGTGCTTGAAGTATAATGCTTAGTTTATTAAAACACTGTTTTTACCCTCATGCGAGGGTCAAGTGGAGGAAGTAATCATTAATCAAAGAGTCACAAATAGTTACCTAGTTATGAATATGAAGAGTGCTTTGCTGGAAAGGTGTGTTCTTTGGAAGTGTTTACCTACCTACGTGACCTGTTTTCTGAGGGCTGTCGCAGAGGAGCAGTTTACCAAGATTTTCTCGTAGGTGGGGTGTGATGATTTCTTCAGTTTGATTTCCAGTGTGTGCTATATTTTATCTGAGTAATTCCTGATAAATTATTTTCAAGAAAATTGATATTTTAGGGTTTCGTTTAATAATTATAGTATATTAAAGATACTGTGCTGCTAGTCAAAACAGTTCAAGAAATACAGCTTCTATTTAAAGATAGTCTTTCCCAACCTGTTTAAAATTTATTTCACATTAAAATGTAGACAGCAAGATAGGGATATAACTAATGTGCAAAGTAATTTTATTATTCTTAGTTGTGTGTAATAATTTTTTAAAGCTAAATTGTTTTTAAACGTTTAACATTAGCATTTAAGTGGAAGTCTGTGGTGGAAATTACTTTGCATTGATAGTTAAGTTAGTACATATGAAGTACCCCATTATTTTCTCCTTCTTGCCAGCTATCTAAGTTATTGGACTGGGAGTGAGCCTCATAGGGCATCTGGTTTGACCTACTTTCTGAGATTATTCAATTCCCTTTCCCTTTTTTCTATAATTACAATTATTCCTAAAATAATTCTTTACACTTCGTTGGACTGACATGCCCAGGGTTACAAACAACTACGTTAGTCATTTAACAGTTTATATGCTGTCTTTTTGTATGCTTAAGATTTGAACTGTAGCAGTAACTGGTAGTTAGTATGTAGTCATATAATACAGACATAGTGTCACAGAATATCAACTGTTTTGGACTTCTTGGCATAAAATATTAAAGAGCCCCTTTCATGCATCTGTGGGAAGTTTTAATGGAGCAATCAGAAGAATTAACTAAGAAGGTCAGATGAGTGGTTATAACTTTTTTCCTCGGTGATATCAAGATTGCTTTGAACAGAGAATTATTAAATACAAACATGCTTTCTTTGCTTGGCAAGAAATCTTTGAGTGGTTTTCCTTCTCCAGTGCAAACAGTAGATTGACTAATGAAATAGAAGTAGCAATTACTATTAATAGAGTGATTGAGACAAAGTCTGAATGAAATCTGGAAGGTTTCTTAAAGTTTTTTTCATCTTAATTTTTTTTTTAAATGCAACGTTGGTTGACATCAGAATTGTTTTTTAGCGTTATCTCCTATTTGAAACAGTGTGTTAAACCCAGTTTGCTCAGACCCCCCCCCATCAATACGTAAATTTAGTTACATTGAATCTCTATTTAAATATTTTAATAATATATTTTAAATTGAATTCAGCAGTGAAAGAAAATTGGATACTAAATTTTAAGCACCTACACATGAGAAAGTGTAAGAAGCTACCATATTAACATTGCTATTCAGTATGTCATTTGGGTGCCATTTACCAGATGTGCCCATATTTATAATAGTACCATCATGCAAGTAATATGGGCATGAACTGTAAAGCTAAGCAGATATGGCATCTGTACCACTCACCAGATAAATAATTCCTCTGAGAAAATGCTCAGAATTTTTTTTTTTTTGATATGTTATTACATCCTTGTTAGCATCTTCAAAAGTATATGTGGTGAAATTATTGTAGAATATTTTACCAAGTTTAAAAATAGACATGTGAAACCTGACTGTCAGGATTCACTTGAGACTGTCTTGGTAAATGTCCCACTATGGTAATGTTCTTTTTAAATCTATGTTCAAGTGATGTTTTGGTGGCTTTTATGTGCAGTATATTTGTAAGTAAACATTTTAAGACATGAATAATAATTTAAAGTTAGGGTAAGCCAATTAGAAATAGTGCCAAAACTGATTCAAATTATTTTTTTAGTATGTCTCTTCTCTTTAAGAAGAAGCCCAAGTTAACCTCCTCTGTCCCTGTAGAGTTAAGGAATTTGAAAATTGATTAAGATGCCATTACACAAAATATTTGTAATAGATGATGTTTAAGAGAGAATACACCAGGGTCAGTACAAATGGATAAATGCCTTACATGACTTACAGTCTGTTTTGAATTCTGTTTTTTGTTTAGTTAAAAAGATTTGTAAGACGATTTAAAGTTGATGAAAACCAAATTTTTCGTACATTTACATTTGAACCTGTTGTTTTGTGCTCAGTAACAGCTAGGTGGTTGAGGATATTTACATGAATATGAGCCACCTTGTTACATCCTCAGTATACCAACTCATAGATTAGAATTGAAGGGAAGGATTGTCTAGTTTAAAAGCAAGTTTACTAAAACTAAAATTTTTTTTAACATATGTCTTTTTCACAGATGATTAAAAGCAATGCATGCTCATTTTAGAAATTTGGTAGAAACCAAATGATTCACCATAATTTCACTGCATAAAGTTAACTGTTAATAATTTTGGCAATGCTATTTTTTTTTTAAATACACTTTTCTATACATTGAGCCAATACATTTATTTAAGCATTTATTGCATGACCAATCTGTTTTAAGCTTTTAGATAAGATTTTTTTGAGGGGGAGGGGAGGTAGTGTTTAACTGCTTTTCACCCGAGATCTCATAACCATTTCCTTATATGATAGTACTCTTTTACAAGAATTTTCCTTGCTTTATAATCTTACATTATATGGATATACTATAATTTATTTAACCAATCCCTTATTTTTTGGACACTAAGGTTTGGTTTTCTGTGTGCTTCCCCTCCCACCCTCCACCCCCAGTTTTTCTCAGTTATAAAGTAGCAAAATAGCTTCTTTCAGAATTTTCCAGCTGGTAAAGAGAAAATAGTATTTTATTATTTTTTACATTTATTTGCTTACTAACTGAGTTTGAACATTTTTGTATTTTATAAGCTATTTATATTTCTTTTGACTTGTCTATTTGTCCTCCATTTTTCCTTATTAATTTTTTTATAACTCTTTGTATATTATAAATACTAACTCTTTGTCATATAAGTATTTGCAATTTTTTTTTCAAATTGTTTCATTCCTTTTAGTTTTGTATGTATTAGAATTTGTTATGCAAGAGTTTGTTTCTCTTAATGTGATCTAGATCAAATTCTTTGTTGAAGAAAAGTTCCGTTTTGTAACTTAACATTGTCTAGTGTTAACTGTATTTTTCCTGTTCGTGGTATTGCTTTGGAAAATACATGTTCCCAGCTGGTGATTGTACATAACCTCCTTGCTGCCCTGAAAAGGCAGATGGAAATGGTTCATTTATAATGACAGCTCTCATGTGGGAATCTTGAAGGATAGCTCTTGTTGTGAAATTTAGCAGTCTTTCACATGCAGCAATTTTTGGTAGACTCTTATTTAAATTCCATTAGATAGGAGTTATCTGGAGAAATGCTTAAGTATAGAACATTCCTGTTATATTTAAGGCATTGGTATGAGTAACATCATACCTGTAGTCCCTTCTCCTAGGAGAGGGAAACTTTTCCTAAATTAAATAAAGAAATTATTTGCAATAAAAAGTCATGAATATAGTATAATTTCGGTTTAGGTGGTAGAAGATGGAGCAGAATAACCAAAGTAGCTAATTATCTGAAATATTAAATTCAGGATATGGCAAAAAGAAAATATTTCACCCAGTTTGAAATTATAATCTGTAATATTCAGTGCCCTTATCCTCGACATGAATTTTCTTTGTAGCCCAGGCTGGATAAGATTTGAAAATCCTTAGCTTGTTTGGCATAATAAATGACATATTGATGTTTATTCACAACGTAGATGACACACATTAAAATAATCTTCAATTTCAAACACCTTTGTGTTATAATAAATAATCAGCTGTCCTTCTCTTACCCAACAGTATGCTTTAATCCATATTTTTAACATGAAAGAACACTACAGAAAACAAACAGGAATATTAAGCAGCTGTTCGCCACATTCATTTCCCGCTAGTTTTTATTAATACACGTGCTTATTTATGTAGTTTAAAAATGTAGCTCATCTGTGTGTACCTTTAAGGAAAGGATAATCAAACCACTGTGATATTATCCTTCGGATGAAGTTAAAAAAAATAGGTGCGTGAGCTGTAGTGTTGGTGGGAGTTGGAGGATCTTGGTCTTAGTGGGACTTAGTTCACTGGTGGGTGATGTATGTGAACATTTGCATTTGTAATGAGGTGAAGGAACGAGGAATTTGTTATATCTGCTCATAGTTGAATATAGTAAATGTGCATTAAAAATAAATACCAAGTACACATGTATTAGAAACTGATTTGTTCCTTTTATTACTGCTGGCCATTTATTAAGAAAGGTAGATGGTTCTAGTTTAATTAACCCAGTTGAGTGTAGCAGATGGGGCAGAATGTCTTGCAGTGATAAGACAATTCAGAAATGGGACCAGATGTTGGAAGTTGTCCCTGGTGGTGTTTGAGTACAGCCCAGATGTTTCAGTCCCACCTGGCTAGTTTCTAAGCACTGCAGGCTAAGCAGCTGTGATGTAACTTGTAATATTCATATAACACTAAAAGCACCATAATTGAACTGCTGCTGTAGACTTCTAAGGTGGTGACTCTTAAGAGGTGAAATCTTTAAGGACAAACAAAAATAAGGAAAACTGTTTAAGTTTTTAGGTCCTTCAGCTATTTAGTTGATAACTGAATTGGAGAGAACTAAGTGTGAAATTTGAACTAATGTTATTGTTCAAAATTTGCATAAAAATAAATATTTTTATAAAATATTTTTGCTTACAAAAATAGTAGTGTTTACAAATGAGAATTGTATAAAATGTGATATTAGACAAACACATTGATTTGCGTACTTATGATTTGGATCTCATGCCTCTAAAAATGCCAGAGTAAAAGTAGCAAAAAGCTGTTACTTTTCCACGCATTAAAAATAGACAAGTTTTTACACATTCATGGAGTAAACAATAGAAAAAAGTAGTCCACCAAAATCATTTCATTGCTGCTTCTCCATACATCTATTAAAACTGATTTTTGTACATAACAGTTTCAAGTTGCCCCCCAGCTTTTTATTTCAAACAGAAAATTTGCCCCATTTTCTCTCTCTTTAATGTGTGTGTGTGTATATGTATATATGTATATTTTTATATATATGCTTACTCTGTACCATTTGAGAGCAAGTTGCAAACATCATGGCATTTTGCCCCTAAAATTCTTCAGCATGTATCTTTTTAGAACAAGAACATTTTCATATATAATTATAATTCTTGGGAAAATTAAAACAATATTATTGTCTAATAAACAGTCCAGATTAAGATTTCCCCCATTGTCTCAATTATGTCATTTCAGCATAGCATTTTTAAAAAATCCAAGGTCCAGTCAGGGTTCACACATTTCATTTACTTGTCCTATCTCCTTAGGCTCCTTTAATCTAGAGCAGTCCCCACTCCTTTTTATGATAATGGTGTTTTCTGAAGAGTCCCGAGAGTTTTTTTTGCAGAATGTCCCTCAGTTTGTATTTGTCTGATTAATTCCTTAGATTAGATTCAGGGTAAATATTTTTGGCAGTAATTTCTACATGGGTGATATTGTCCTTTTCAGTCCCTCACATTAGAAGGCCCGTGATACTATTTTGTCTGATTTTTACTGGTGTTAAGTTTGATCACTTGTTTAAGGTGATAGCCATCAGATCTCTCCACTGTAAAAGTACCTTTATCCCTTCGTAATTAGTTAGTAATCTGTGGGGTGATATTTTGAGGTTATGTGAATATTTTATTCCCCGGCAATGTTTTACCCAGGTTTTCATATCCATTGAAAATTCTTATAAAATGGTGTTTTTCTAATTCTACTGTTCCTTCTAAATTTACTAGTTGACATTCTTTTCTTCCCAATCCCATTTTAAAAACTTTTTTAATATCAGTATGAAGTCATGAATTTTTAAGTTTATCCAGTGTGAACCTCTCCTTTAATAACAGAATAATTGGCAGTGTAAACTGTATGCCTACCTTATGTTCATAAAATACAAGCAAGGAATAACTTTAACCAGAGATTCAAGGTCATTTGTCTTAGTGGAAATAGAGTAAGGAACATAATAGTTTGTGATAACTTTAAGGGGGAGCATGGTAACCTGAAAACCTAGGTCAAGAAACCAGCTTTTATGATAGGTTTGGGGCTCCACTGTTGGGTCTTTTTTAAATGGCGTGCTAAAATGGCTTCCTGAAATTGTTATCAGTTGTTGTGTGGTTCTGAAAGCTTAAGTTAACATTTTCCTCATACCCAATTTCTAGGAGGATCAGCTGATTTATTCGGAGGATTTGCTGACTTTGGCTCAGCTGCTGCATCCGGCAGTTTGCCTGCCCAAGGTATGATACAATTTGATTGGCCAGAAATTTAGGGGCAGGTGAAAAGACTATCCAACTGTCAAAACAAAGCAATTCTCTTCCCCTAAATCAGCTTCTTTTTCTCTTTATAGTATTTATAATTCCAAAAGAATATATTCACAAAGTATTTTATTGGGCTAATTTCTTAAATTTGCCACAGGAATTAATCCGGTTGCAAACTACTCAGGTACACCTAAAGAAAAATTACACTTATTCATAAGTAACTCTTCTGGGTGGGGTGGGGGGAGCAGGTATGAATCAGTATAAATAATCAAATTTTGTTGGCAAGAATCTTATAGTTTAATTTACATGATTTTCATGACTGAAACTCTGGGACATTGGGATTATATAGAATATCTTACTAAAATTTACTCGTTTGTAATTGATACGTCTTAAGAGCATTTCTCTGAAAAATAACTAAACTTCCTTTTGACATCTAAAATTAGTAGTTGACCCTGACATCTAAAATTAGTAGTTGAACCTCAGGCAAAGAAATCTCACTCTCTGTTAGATTAGAAATAATGAAACACCAATGTCCAAGCAGAACATCGGCTTAAACATTTAACAATTAAAATGTAGGCATTGTCGTTTTTCCTTTTTTAATTAATATTTTTATCTTATCTCTGTCATATACTATGATAGCTGTTTAACTTTTGGAAATTGTCTGAGCCTCCGTCTTTCTAAAATTGGAAATAATACTACTTGTCACTCTTCTTTATGAGGATAAAATAATGCCTATAGAAGTATGTGTAAGTTTTTTTTTTTTTTCTTTTTTAGGTTGTGAGGAAATTGTGGGGTTTTGTTTGTTTTTGTAAAATCTGGTCAGTCTGAAGTTTGAGAGATGATATAAAACATTTATAAAACTTTTAAACATGAAGCAGGGAAGAAAGATACAATTCAACCGAATTAGTCTTATTATCTATTTCAAGTAGCATTGTCTGTTGCTGAGGAGTTAGAAAGAAAGATGCATATTTTAACGTGGTTATTTTGACAGCCTACATGTGTAAATTCCAGGTATTTCCCAGAAACCAGACATTTTGAGTAATTAACTGTTTCATTTTGGAAGTGTGATAACACTTTCTAAGGGTTAATACTTTGCTTTAGGTAAATTAGAGTGGAAAATAAACATTGCCCTAATTTTACAGTCTCCCTGTGTAATTCTCAGTTTTTATGTATATAAAGTTTCCTACTATGCAAATATTTCAAATATGTTAATGTTGCCTAAGTGATACATCTCTTCATCTGTATGCATGGGATTAATATAACCTGATCACCATTACGCAAGGGGCTGAAACTGTTGCAACAATGATTAATTGTTTCTGAACACTATACGCCCGGATAGAAATCTTGCCCTCCTGTGATTAATCATCTCAGATGAAGTTTTCAGATGGGGAAACATTTTGCCCCAGTTTCCATTCATACTGTTTTATAGCTCAAGCAAATAGAAAATCAACATAAAGTTTACCTTTATACAGCGGCCTTACTTAAATTGACTTCAAATTGTTTAATATATAGAACTAATTGAAAAGCTCTTAATGCAGTCTCTTTTGTAAAAAAGACATGTTTTAGTAAAACCCTGAGGTAATGAGTGTTAGCCTAGTTCTTGCATTAAATTGTTGATAGAGCTTGGGATTTCTAAATGAATTATTTTTTCTTTTGAGGGTCTTACATTTTAATATGATAATAGAACAATATAGTTTTAAGACTTAGATTATTCTTTTGATATTTAGCATAATGAGACACTGTATTGCAGTGGTTGGTTACCTTGTAGTCTAGATAAGATGTATTTCCAAATTGTAAGTGAACATGGCGTGCAAAGAGATGGTGTTAATTAACTTGAAAATACAGAGTATTTGCTTTCAAATGACAGTTTATATGTAGCTCTTTTAACTTTGCTTTTTCACTTCCATTAATTCATATTCATCTTTTGTCCCTTTCTTAAAGAAAGATTTATTTACTTAGATTCATATGTGGCCTAGTTAAAATTTTTGAAATGTATCTCTTGCCTGTGTGTTCGTTGTGTTACAAATAGTTAATATTATTAGTATGCAGCATTGACAGCAGCCTGACTTATACTTTTATTTGCATACCTAAAGGAAAGAGAGTGTGGTGCCTTAGCTTTCACTGGTACTTTCACAATTAATCCAAGGTAACAATAGCAAACCTCAGATGGCACTTACTATATATTAAATTATTTAATCATCATAACTTGGATTTTTTTCTTTAACAAATTAGACCCAGAGTGGTTAAGTAACTTGCCCAGGGACACACACGTAATAAGATACAAAATCTATGCGTTAACCACTATGTTAATAAAACTGTTACCAACTTTTATATTATTAAGTACAGTTCAACCTTATGTGTTACAATTACACTTTGAAGTGTAGTGATGGGGTTTTGTTTTGTATATATATGTATATATATAAAACTTGGAGTTCCTCTCTTTAAACAATACCTCTCTTTATTTAAATAAAGGGATTGAACAAGTCCAGTTGAAGCAAGCAGTGTAGTAAAGTTATATCTTTGCTGTAGCACTCTCTTGTCAATGGAAACATGGCCGAATGAGTGAAAAGTTCTTATAGAAATTTACTAACCTGCTCTTAATTTTATTAGCTTTTTTCTCCCATGCTTTTCTGAGTTCTTTTGTTTTTGCCTTTTATAAATTTAATTTTGTGAATGTAGGGTTTTTATTACCTGAAGAAGTATAAATCATAGTTTGATTTCTGTTTGATTCTTTCTAAATAAACAAACTGAGTTCAGAGCATTCTCTGATTTGTCTCCTTGGGTGAGGATTCCAGAGCTCCCAGCAAAAATTTAACCATCTTGCAGCTTCCTTCATGCTTTTCTGAGTTGCAGGCTAGACCATAATTGTTTAGCTGGAAGCATATTTTATATGCACAGTTAATTAAAGGGAAGTTTGCATTATAACTTTTAAGTGTCACCTACATACCTGCCAAGAGATGGATTTTACTTTATATGTGGGAGATTTTTTTTTTTTCTCTGCCACCTTGTTAACACTCGTGGAATATTCATGAGAAAGAATAATGTCCAGATGGAGATGGTACCTGCAGATGTTAATCTGGATGGACACAGATCAGCTCTAATTTGTTTCAGTTCATAGATTGTTATATTTGTTCTGTGTGTTTCAGAAAGTCTCTTACCCTTTTAGTTCTTTCTTCCTCAGGAACAGCAGCAAGTGGGAATGGAGACTTTGGTGACTGGAGTGCCTTTAACCAAGCCCCATCAGGCCCTGCTGCTTCCAGTGGTGAGCTCTTCAGCAGTGCCTCCCAGCCAGCTGTAGAACTCTTCAGTGGCTCACAGCCAGCTTTAGGCCCCCCTTCCGCTGCCTCAAATTCTTCAGACCTGTTTGATCTTATGGGCTCGTCCCAGGCAACCATGACGTCTTCCCAGAGTATGAATTTCTCTATGATGAGCACTAATACTGTAGGGCTTGGTTTGCCCATGTCAAGATCACAGGTAAGCTGCCCACTTCCCTTGGAAATTGTGATTCATAATCTTTGAGAAACTTTAACTATTCTAACGGTAGGTTTGCATAAAGCAGGGAAATAAGCAAGCCCTTTCTATAGATAACAGTTTTTCACATTGCATTTACCTTACTCTTTCCCCTAGTACAGTCATTTGGGTTCTAGAGGGCAAGACCTTCTCAGCCCATCCTGGTCCCTGCAAATCCAAGCGTGGTGTCTTGCACAGAGGTGGCACATTCTGAAAATTTATTGAATTATAGCAAATTGATATTAAATAATAAAAAATATATATTTTTTTATATATTTATATATATATATATATATTTTTTTTTTTTTTTAAGAGAAAGGAATAGAGATACTCCTTCACGCATGGCAGGCATTCCCTCAGTCAAATCTCTGGTCATGTCCTTAAAGAAGTCTCAGTTATTTGTTGCAAACAATCATTGCTAGTGTAGAAAATCATTGTCTTCAGTAGTGAATGTTCTTCTGTATTATGGGCCTGCTGTACAATTACATAAATGTTAGGTAGGCTACTCTTTCAACTGCACCTTTTTCATATAGGAAAACAACTATGATGGGAAGTTTTTGATTCACTTTTTTATAGTTAAATCTAAATTACCTGATAGTAGCTTAGATTCAAACAAGTGCAGTATTGGAATATATATGTCTGAATTGTATCAGATATTTGCTGCTTTTTGACTCAGGCTATTGAGTATGATGCTAATTACTAATTTTAATGTGTAGATTCTTCTCTTTTGAGTGTTAGGATGGAAGAAGACAAGAAAGAAGCAGAAAGGTGACTGTTTAGAACTAACATTAAGGAAAAAAAACATGGTCTCCACACCAGTAACATTAAATTGAACTTTGCACCATGAACAAGCCAGTTTATTCTTTGAGTTTCTTTCATGTGACCTAAGCAAAAGCCATTCTACTTTCTTTGCAGTCTTAAATGCAACTGTGTTGCAGTTCTTTGCGTTGGTACATTTTCAGTTCTTCCTATTTTCCCTTTTTCCTGTCCTTTTCAGTTAGCCCCAAGCACCTCTGCTTCTTTCTCCTGAATTTCTTCCAACCAAATTGGTCTGTATACATCAAGTTCTACTAATGTTGCTAGCTTTAGGCAGTAGACGTGTACACAGAGCAGCATAATGTCACTCAGGATATGTAAGATATAATTAGTTATTTGATGATTTTGCCTTTTAGAACATGAGAAATCCTGAATTCGATTTTGTAAGAATAAATTTCCACTTGTGTATTTCCTTAAAGCTGTTAAAAGCTGTTACTAAGCTGAAGTTGCTAGTTGCCCTGGGCATTCTTTGTACCTTTGCAAAATTTGGGTTATGATTATGACCGAAATTATGCAGAGGTACAAAGCATGTAACATTTATATTAACAAAGGATAACATTTGCCAGGGGTGGTGGCTTCTAGACATGGGTGATGGGAGGATAAACGGTAGTGTAGGTGTGGTGGGGTTTTTTTCACCCCAGCGTGGTTTGGATTTCACAGAAACCTCCTTGGGAAGCTAGTTACTCAGAGTGTTGGCGACATTAACTAGAACATTTGTGGTTCTTTTGGGTTTCACAAGTTCATTACAAAGTCTAGTATATATTTGGAATTACTGCTGCATTGCCATTTGATAATCTTTATTGACTGATAATATGAACAGATGCTTAATGTTTAGAGCATTTTTCTATTTTCCAGCCTTTGCAAAATGTTAGCACAGTGCTGCAGAAGCCTAATCCTCTCTATAATCAGAATACAGATATGGTCCAGAAATCAGTCAGCAAAACCCTGCCCTCCACGTGGTCTGACCCCAGTGTAAACATCAGCCTAGACAACTTACTACCTGGTATGCAGCCTTCCAAACCCCAGCAGCCATCGCTCAATACAATGATTCAACAACAGAGTAAGTTAACGCATGACATCTCATTTCTCTGTGTACTTGTAATCCTTTGCCCTGATGGCCAGGACTGTTTCAAGTCATGAAGAAAAAATATATAACATAAACTCTAGCGAGGTCGACTGTGGTCAGTTAAGATCTTTTCACATAATAGTCACTTGATGTGTCTTCTGGGAGATTAAATGACTTTCTATTTTGCTCTTGGCATGATAACATTTATTGTGAGTTTGGGGACCCAGTTACTAAAGTAAAATACCTATTTGTTGTAGAATTTTTTAAAAATATAGGTAAATATGACGAAGACACAGAAATCATCTGAATTCCACAATCCAGGGATAATCACCATTAATACATACTTCATTTTTTCTAAGCATATTGTTAATACTTGGGATCATTCTGTCTATATTTTGTTTCTTGCTGGTCTCATTCAGTATTAAATTATGAGCATTTTTCCTGTATTGGATATTCTTAAGGGAAAAAGTGACTTTTAGATCTTTATAGTATTCCATCAGATCACTGTATAGTCCCTCTGTTGTTGGTTGTTTAAATTGTTTCCAGCTTTTTGCTATTATAAATAACTACTATTTTGTATAAATATTTGTACTTCTGATTCTGATTTTTTTTTTCTCATTGTGTCTACATCTCTTTTTGTGAAAGAAGACCAACAGCCACTAAACATTTCTCAAAAGTAATCAGTACAAATTAATTGACTTCTCTTATAAAATCACACTATAAAGGCATTTTATTGGGGCTAGAAGCTATTGATGGTCAGGAAGATGATGTTATTTTTCTGCAATGTGAATCTGAAGATTCAGTGTGGTAAGGTTCTGTTGTCTCATTTCTTCTGCTAGATATGCAACAGCCTATGAATGTGATGACCCAAAGTTTTGGAGCTGTGAACCTCAGTTCTCAATCGAACATGCTTCCTGTCCGGCCCCAAACTAACCCTTTGATGGGGGGACCCATGCCTGTGAGCATGCCCAATGTGATGACTGGCACCATGGGAATGGCCCCTCTTGGAAATACTCCAGTGATGAACCAGAGCATGATGGGCATGAACATGAACATAGGGATGTCATCTCCTGGGATGGGCCTGTCCGGCACGATGGGAATGGGCATGCCCAACATAGCCATGACTTCTGGAACTGTGCAACCCAAGCAGGATGCCTTTGCAAATTTCACCAACTTTAACAAATAAGAGATTGTAAAGAAGCAGATTGAATGAAGAATTTTTAGCTGTGCAGATAGGTGATGTTTGGATGAAAAATGCAAATCAACTCCCCTTTCTTTTATCAATTAATTAAACCTATATAAAGAACCAAAAAAACTGTTTTATAAATGTGAAGTATCTAGTATTTCAGATGGACCGTCCAGGGCACTTCAGGTGAGGCAGGCAGAATCTTTTTTCCCCCGTGAGAATAGACCACAGGTGGTGTAGTGAGACCACGGAAAGCCTTTACAAATTGAAGAGCCTGTTTTAACAGCATAATTTGTGGGAAGATTGGAATAGGACTGAATAAATGTGTTTGAATCTCTAATTTTGTACTTTTCTTTTCCTGAGGAACTTGATTTTTCTGTCCCTGAATCCCCTGTCATAATTGGATCTGTTCCTTTTATTACCACTCTTGAGTCCGTATATGAAATCATTAAAGTTGGATGATCAGTTTTTTATAAAAATATATATTTTTGTCCAAAAAAGGCATACATATGTGATTATGGCTAAATCAAAGGTAACTGGAATGTATATACTTTTGCTAATGTTCCAGCAACACTGCTATTATACTACCCAAATTTTTATTGTAATAAAATCTTCTTTAAGCAATTGGTGATAGCTATGGGACTTTCCCCACATCTTCTGCTATAATTATCCTCTGCAGAACTAGGAAGAATATTTTCTTCAGGACTGCTGTATGGTTTCCTTTAAAAAAAAAAAAAAAAAAACAAAAAACCTCCAGTATTTTTGTTTGTGTTTAGCAGTCATTATTTACAATTTGTAGTGGTTAACTTGGCAAGGCTTCCTTCCATGTTTATCCATGTAGCCATCGTTAAACAGTCAGCAACAGTCACAGAAGAAAAATATTTATTTTTATTTTTCAAGTATCTTTTCAAAAAAAAATTGAAAAGAGCAAAATCCATTAAAAACTTAAGTTAAATATAAATGTTAGAACTCAACAACATTGGTTTTTAAATTTTATACAGTATTTTGTTTTGGTTTTGAGTGTATATACTATGGCATTAGCAAGCTATGGTTCCAATAGAGAGGAGTTAAATATGTATTACTAAAGGAGACCTGTAGCAGTCAAAGATTTTATTGATTTAATTAAAAATAAAGGAAATTAATTTTTTTTTCCTGCTGTAATTCTGCATTATGCTCATATGAAAATCATGATTCTAGAGTTTGGAATGCAAAATTAATTGTTTCACCCTTAAGCTGGGAATATTTTTTAAAATAAACACTATAATATAGGTATCAAATTATTACTTCCCTGCTTTATGTTGAAAATTTTTTTATTAAATTGATAAAACTTTGTTTTCATGTATTCATAATGTTCTGTTATTCATAACATTAAAATGTTCATTAAAATCAATGTTGAACTGCTTTTTCTTTCATTCTGTTAGATGTTTGAGACCGTTTGGGGAAAAAATAATTATAATTTGGGCAAAGTAATTTCTATAAATAATTTAAAATAATTTAATGACTTCTCTATTCTTTCCTATCCCACTCTACTGTTAGAAATTAAAAATGAAGCAGTAAAGACACCCTGACCTGCTCCGTTCTTGCTAATTTTCCATCTACAACATTTCTAATTAGGCAGAAATTCATGTACTTCAGCTAAGTGGTAATGAAAAGTGATTCATTTGCTGAATAAGAGATGAGAGAGTGTAATTAGCTGACTACGGTTTTTAATCTTCCAACAATTCAGTGTGTTTAAATTAGTCTCAAAGAATAGGAGCTTTCGGGTGTTGTTACTTCACAGCAATCAGGCCAAGCTCTGGTGGCAGCAGAGAACATCTTCACTGGTATTTGAAACCCATAATTTCAAATGAGTTTTGTTTTTGTTTTTTTCTTTAAATTGGAAGGTATATCTTCACCTTTTCAACTCTATATGGTTGTTAGAGGGGGTGAATATTTTTTGTTTCTGAACCTTTGTGCTTTAAAAAAAAAAAACCTTTTTTTAAATAAAATACATCTCTAAAGCATTTTCCGTATCATGCCTTTCTAAAGTAGCGTCTCGGAGGACTCGAAGGAGACCCATCTCAGTTTTTATTGAACGTTAACATACAGTTTGCCCTCTTTTCAGTGTTTTTTTTTGTTTCTGAGCCCATAAAAGAGAAAAACAAGAATTGCCACACTAAGCGTTCTTCCAGTTTACTGATCTGTCTCGTAAAGGGTTCGTAAGTGATGCTTAGAAGAAGGGCACGAATACCCTGAAAACATTTGGAGTTGGCAAGAAATTACTCCTGTTTCTTTAATAGTTGATTGGGCTCCTTTCTGCCCATCCTATAACCCTTTCCCTTTTCACCCAAAACTTCTCTGCTTGTAGCTATTTCTCACGTTTGCCTAACATTTTGGAAGGAAAATAGTCACTGCACTAGCAGTTTACATATGGTGAGTCCACACAGCCACTGCAGACTCATCTGTTTCTCTCTAGATTGCCTTACTTCCCTAGAATCTTCAACCATAAATGCACACAGTGGTGGTGTACGGTACTTGGTTGGGTGTTTCCGTTTAGTTCAGAATGCCTACTTGATACCCATAATGCCATTGGTTTTAGGGTAGTCATTAACAAGATGAGACCTGTATTTATATTTGGAGGGAAGGGTTAGTACTTTCTATCTTCTTAAATATTTTTAAAACATCTAGTAGCTTTCCTTCCTTAGCGGTAAGTTAAACCTAAATCCTTTGATTCAGGACTTTATCTCAATATGAACATTAGTTATGATGTAGTTTTCTAGCTAAGATATTAGGAAATAAGGTAAATCTGTTGTAAACACAGCATGCGGTAAATGAGTTCTGAACTAAACCGGCTTTGTGATTCCACTTTCCTGGGAGACAGCATGGGCCAGGAAATGGGCAGATAGGATTCCATTTCCACCACTCACTATCTGGGTGAACTTGATCAATTTACCTGACCTCTCTGGGCTCTCCTACATTTTTTCTAAAATGAACTTAAGTCTTGAAGTGGTGTTGGGACAATTAAATGATGAGGGCCACCAGCACTGGCACGTTTGTGCTATAAATTTTTCTCTGCCTCCCTTTTTTTATTTTTATTTATGTGAGTGTGGTGACTTGGAGAGCTCTTGTGCCAGTCACTGTGCTAAACACTTTCAAATGAATGTCTTACTCTACACAGCATACCCAAAACGTAGCATTCCTGTTTTATTCCTAAAAGCAGAATGTACTTAAGAAAGTGAGAGAAGGTTCTAAATTGCTTTCTAATTGAGGATTTTACTATCTGCCTGAATTTAACTCTGCCTTTTTTTTTCTAACAAGGAAGTTGTAAATGAGCGAGTTTTGTGAATGTATTGACTCACTTCTACTTACCACATTAATGCAGATGTGAGAGACAACTGTGAAAGTGAGCTCTTGATACAGGTTTGCCACACAAATCACCCTCATTAATTCTCAGCTTTTTGAGGCAGCAGAGAGCTTAAGTTTCATATTGATTGACTTCTTGCGGTTTTGTTGACTAAGATCTTGCCACTCTTCTAATACCCAGATAAGCAATCAGATACAAACACTGAAAATAATAATCTAGTCATGAATGGGGATTTTTTTTTTCCCTTGCTGTTAACTCACTATGACGTTAATTTTGTGTGTCTTCCTTCTTTAGTAGTGGCAGCCTTGCTAATTGTTCCTCACCCACAAAACGACTAGCTCCTAGCACCCCTTCACACTTGGCTTGCTTACCCCAGGAAGAGGGAGTCAGCAGGTAGCCAATTCAGGCGCTCGGCTTCCCAGGGATTCAGGAGTGATTTGGAAGTTTCGATGGGCAAAAAGGGATTTCATTTGTTATTCTATAAGTTCTAGACCATGAAAAGCCTACACTTCTTTTCCATTTGATCTTTCTTAACTGTACATCCTGCAGTTGTGTTCTTTTAAATGCTGCAAGTGCACTTTTTTCCATTTTGTAGTGAGATAGCGTGCTCAGAGTTGGTGCATGTAGCAGGTTGGTCTCAGGACCCCTTTATATCTTTAAAAATTAGTGAGAGCCCCAAAGGGCTTTTATGTGGGTTGTATCTATTGATATTTACTGTTAGAGACAAAAACTGAGGAAATGCAAAGACAAATTCATTTTGAAATAAACCCATCACATATTAACAAACTACAATTTGATTTTAAAAGTGGTTTTCCAAAATAATTTTTTTTAACATTCTTTGCAAATCTCTTTAGTATCTGATTTAATAGAATACAGCTGGATTCTCTAATCTGCCTCTGCACTCATCCTGCTGTGGTATGTTGTTTTGATGGAAGTATATGGAACAATATCTGGCTTCCGTGGTAGGTGGTCGGGAAGGAGAGAATCTTGCAGCTCCCACAAAGGCACGCGGGGCTACCCAGCGATCCTCAGACCACACTTTGCAAACCGCTATGGTAGGGAATTACCAGATGAGAGTGAGTATTTCATAGTGTATCATGGATCCATTTGCTTCACTTAACTCTGGTTATGAGGTGATCTCCTGGAGGAAAAAAGAATTTAGTTTTGCCTTTCACTTCAGGCACAAGCAAAACACCTGTCATGTGAAACTTCTCTCTGGATAATAAATACCAAAAAATAGATGATGCCATAGCTTTTTCTCAGTTTTCAAGGTTGTATCTGATACACAGTGCATATTACTACACTGTAACTGAGTCTTGAGTACTTGGGGGAGTTGTAAACCTTTGAGAGGAGAGAATAAAATGGGCCAAACTTGAAGTCCTCTGACTTCTTTGCTAGGGGGCCTGGCAATTTTGTATACTTGGAGTTCTATGGCAAACACTTAGCGAAGGATATGGCTATAGAAATAGTGCATCATATTTATGTTGTTATTAGTTGCCATAGTCAATTCCAGCTCATGGCAACTCCATGTGTTATAGAGTAGAACTGCGCTCCATAAGGTTTTCAAGGCTGTGACCTTTCAGAAGCAGATCGGCAGGCTCTCTCCCGAGGCCCCTCTGGGTGAGTTCCAGTGGCCAACCTCTCTGCCAGTAGTAAAGCATTCAATCATTTACGTCACCCAGGAACTCCATCACATCCACAGTTCTCCTTATAAAATCCTAGATAAATTTGATTCCTGAGATTGGAGAATAATCTGGTAGTTTCCATCCATTTCCTGGGAATGGCAGTACCGAGCTCTGTACTGGGCACCTTATGTACATTGACTTGCCTAACCTATGAAACAATTCCCTCCTTCTGACGATAAATGCAGAACGGGAGAGTAAGAAGCTAAACAGCCAAAAGTAGCTTTGAAAAGGTTATGCAGGGACCCCAAAACAAAGACTCCGCTCATTTCCAATAACTGATCACCAGTAAGTACATTTGGTAGAGTTTTTACTGTGGAAAGAGGAAGGAAATCCCAGGCAGAACTCCTTCTCAGAAGAGCTTCGTTTCAGAAACTAGAGCATATATAGTAGGTACAGAATTAATTTTTGTTATGAAACATTGAAGATGTCATCTCTGGTGTCTGGTAATTTATAATCCAGTTTTATTAAACTATTGTTAAAATACAGGTAGTAAACTGGACTCCAATATTCTTTTTTTTTTTTTCATGATATTTTCACTTACCAAGCATCAAAAATGAAAACAATACCAAAACAGTCACGGCAGTTCTCATGATAAAGCCCAAATCTTCCCAGCTGGGAAATGAGATTGCAATATTGTCATGTGCCACAAAACCAGAGTTTCTTTGATATGTTTATTCATATTAATTATGTGCTGGCTGTCTGCAGTACCTTGTATTAATAAGTGCTATGGTGACTGCAATAGAAACTTATCCATGAGATCACCACGTGGAAGGCTGTGCACACTGAAGTGTTAGAAAGGAGATAACCAAAGGTGTTGCCATGAAGAACAGAAGTTCTTGTTTGAATATGGTGACTCCAGAAGCTCTTCTGAGAGAGTAACTTTTAAGCTGAAGAATGATGAGAAGGAGCCAGCCATGCTAAGGGAGAGAAAAAGTCATTCAGCCATAGAGAACTGCTCATGTGGAGACTCCAGTGGAGAAAACTGAGGATGTTCTCACAATTGTTGGAGGTTTGATCGGTGTGGCTAGAGATCAATGGAAAAGAAGTGGACTTGGAGAGACAGTCAAAGACATGGACATAATTGATATTTAGGGTGTTGTCAAAATGGTTTGCACTAGACTACTAACCTAAAGGTTAGAAGTTCGAACCCACCTAGCAGCACTGTGAAAGAAATGTCTGGCGATCTGCTTCCATAAAGATTCAAACCAACAAACAAACCCATTGCCATCAGAGTCAATTCAGACTCACAGTGACCCTGTAGGACAGAGTAGAACTGCCCCACAGGGTTTCCAAGAAGCAGCTGGTGGATTCCAACTGCCAACTTTTGATTAGCAGCCAAGCTCTTAACCACTGTGCCACCAGGGATCCCCATAGAGGTTACAGCCAAGAAAACCCTATGGAGCAGTTCTACTCGGTAACACGTGGTGTCGCCAGGAGTTGTTATCAATGGCAATGAGTTTGCTTTGGGGGTTTTGTTTCATTTTTTTGTGATGAAGTAATGACTTCACGCCTCAAAAGTTGCTCAGACAGGACTGCCAGTACCAGGGATAGCATATTCCAAAGGCCTCATTGGCTTTCATTGCCGTGGTTGTCATAGGGCTTGCTTTACTTGGACTTTCAGAAACTTAAGAGAAAAACTGTATAACAGTAGTTTGATATTTCCTGTTGAACCCGAAATACATTAATAGTTCATTTATATCTGAAACGTCCGGATTTTTTAAATCTAAGGGGCAATTTCTACTCTGTCCTAGAGGGTCACTATGAGTCAGAACTGACATGATGGCAACGGGTTTGGGTTTTTTTTGTTTTTAAGGGGCCATTTATAAATGCAAGTTGAGAATTTCAAACAGTGGTAACTTGTATTTGCACATTATAGTTTACAGAATGAATTCACACTCGTTTCCTCCCTGATCCTCACAATAG